AAAGCAAACAACTTTTTGGAGCAAAGATGATCTATTCAGTGCTTATCACTAGGAAGGGGAGACTACAGACGGCTGAAGCTGGGAATTTCCAGTTTAATGGAAAATTCTGGTATTCTGATTATTCTGAATCAGAAGAAAGTATTTCAAAATTTCCCACAAAATAGAAATTGAAAAAAACTCCAAAAAAATGCTTTCAAAAATGTTGAAACACATTTTGTTTCAGCTTTTTAGCTTTTTCTATTTAATATTAGTTTTTATATTTTGCATTTTTGTTTTACCAGTCTTGACTATGTGTCATCTTATGCCACTCCATAAGTAATATATTATAATTTAAAAAAATATTTGAATTGTGAGTGTAATACAACTAGTACTTGATATATATTTAATTTGAGTAGGAAAATAAGATCAATATTTGGTCTTATATTATTTTTAGCAACACTACAGTACTTCATTTTATTCATCACAGCATTTTAACCACACACTTTCTCTACATCCTAGCTGCAAGCAAGAAAGTCCTTGGTTTCTTGTGATCTCAGCATTCTTACTCCATGAAATTTGGAGTATTTGGTGTTATTTGGACCTGTTATTAACACCACTACCACCTATAAGGACTAATTCTGGACCGAGGTTCTTATGCTTCTGTGCTACTCTTGAAACACTCGTGTTTTCTTGAACAGCAGACATGAAAGATTTCAATTTACTTGATCCTCATTTAATCATGATGCTTGCCCTTTCCCTGTTCTGCCCAACCGAGATACTGTTTTTCATGGCACTGCTCTCCCCTTGGTGTCTCTTCAACATCACCAATGTAATGACAGCTCAGATTGCATGCTCTCATCCTCTCCCTCAAATTTGTTACTTGTTTTTCACGTAATGATGATGCTACTTAGACTACAATGAGAAAAGGTGTTTGGGGTTTTTGTTGATATTTTTAAACAGTTTATTAGCTCAAATGAATCAGTAAATGATTTATTTTTTGATTTCCTAACTTTTAACTTGATGAAAGTTTAAAGATCCCTTCCAGCCCAATGCATTCTATGATTCTATGATAGGAATTTTCCACCATATTCTTGACTTATCACTAACTTCAACATATCCTTCTATATTAATAAAATACTCCCTTTCACCCCTTTCTCCAGAGTTGTTTCCTAGAAAAGAAAGCCAAATTTCTCCAATAGTAAACACATAATATTTTACAAATAGTTCACTAGAGACTATAAGAGCTAAACGATTCTTTCTGTGTTTCAGGAAATAATATTAACACTGTAAATAACATTTTGTCTTATCCAAAAGTAAACAAGATGATTTATGAAGCAAATAAGAAGAGAGAGTTCCAAACCAGAAGAGCTTAAGCTGGAGGCTAGGCAAAGGAGAATGAGGAAAATAGACACTCGGATAATGCTGAAATTCAATGAAATTTTTTGTATTATCTGCTTTAAAACCTCTTCAGAAATGGATCACAAAAATAGTAAATGACAGAAGACAGAGTATCACTATTTATGAAGAAGCCAAAGGTAATACTCAGGCCAAAGGCTGTACTTACAGGAATCCCAGATCGGCATGCCAAAAGAAGGTCTTATGGTGGGGTTCAGTTACCTGCAGGTGCTGAAGGCCATTTGAGATGCCCTAAACTATGCAAGAAATCTAAATGAGGTCAGCAGATAGGACACAGAGACTTATGGAAAATAAGTATCACTCTGCAGGGGAAGCTGGGGACATGCAGGATATCCTGCAGTACTAAAAACAGTGCTAAGATTCCTAGATTTGGGCAAATTAATAATGTCTTTAATGCCTAATATCATGTGTGGGACCTCACAAGTTAAAAAAAAAATAATCCACAAAAGATAGAGTTTCAATTGGCCCAGTGAGCTGAATTCAGCAACCAGTCAGTAAGTTAAGGGAAGACTGATAAAACACTATTCCTTCTAAAGGCTCTTCTGCTTTTTGGTGGAGAAGACAGCGGACACATTACCTCTAGCATTCAATATAGCTCAATCATCTGGTCACACTGCCTGAATCTTGCCGCATCTGTATATGTTCAGTGCAGGATGAATGTCCTTAAAACAAGATAACAAAAGACAATCTTGTCTCTGCTGTTTTCGTCTAATGAAGAACAGCGGTTCACCAGCCATTGTGGTTATTCTATTCTGTCTTCTGCCATGCTCTCAGCCCTATCACTCTCAGGTGATACCTGTTATAGTGGTTCTATCTTGGTTCTAGAAAACTTATAATCCCAATGTAAGAAAAGAAGTAACAGTTAGAGATAACAAATAACTCCTTACAAGTAAGAGTGATCTAATACAGAGGAATGTAAGAGGCATACCAGTTGCCTTATTGTAGTTAGATTTTTTTAGGCATCGTGGCAATGTTCCTGTCTCTTAAGGAAGGATTTAAGGCGGGATAATATATTAAGTAGGGTAATTGATATTTGTGGTTTTGCTAATTGTCTTCTATAAAATAAAGCTCTCCCTGGAAAAAATTGATACAGGAGGTCTACAGCATTAACACCTGTTAGTGATACCATAGAAGTATTAAAATGCAAAAGATGAGGATCAGGATACATAAACTCCTACATGTCTGATTATCTCTCTCACACATTTCACTTATCTTTGAGGCTATTATATCACTGCAGGTTATAATTAACAAGCCAAATAAAGATATATATGCTATTACCTTTTAATGTAGACTAGCTACACACGTTCAAATTAAATATTGTTTTCTGACCTGGACATCTTTTGTGAGTATTTTGTTGACTACTCTACACTCTGTAGCTTATAGGGTCATTTTATTCAAGATCAATACGTCCTGAGGAACGCTTAATTTTCTAGAAAAAAAATGGAGTTAACTTGTTAGTGAGGAAAAGCATTTTACTATCAATAAGTCTAAAAATTACTACCAAAACTCTTTATTGAATCTACGCTGTTTTCCTGCCCTCTCTCAATGTCACTTCAAAACAAGAACTAAAAGAAAGAAGTGAAGTTAATTAGAAACTTAGGCTGGTGATGTGGGATGAGGTAGGTGTTCAGAATGGCTCCATGTTAAAAACAGGATTAGCCACGATTCTCTGGCTACCCTGAAAGCTGGAATTGCATCTTCTGCTGTGTGCTGCTCTTGTGACCAAAGGAGGCCTGGTGAAACCTAGGAGAAAGCGAGCAGTGAGGAGTGAAACGAGAGTTTGAAGCTCAGGCAGTGGGGAAGTGATAGATGAGTGGATTCCTTCTGTTATTTAGGAAGAAAAAGGCAGAAGTATGTGCACCCATCTGCAGTACTGTAAAAGTCAAAAATAAAGACTATCAGAGCTTTGATAGTTTGCCTTCGCTCATTCTTCTGCTAGGCTGGTGAAATAAACGATATGTGTGCTATGATAAGATATGTGCAGAGCAGTGCCACTATACAATGACCTCTGAAATTCAGAGAAAAATAGAACAGATCAGGATATTGAAATACAGTATATGCAGTACAAATAGGTATGAGAATACTTGGAATATTGGTACTACCTGAACTAAACAAATTTACTTTAAAGTGTCCTCGAGATTCTGCCATTACGCTACATTAGAAGAATTCCTGTCCAAAGATTAATCAGCTTAGCCAACTGTACAACATTTAAAACTGCACAGACCAGAGTATTAGTCATTTGCAGAGGACACAAATTACTAAATATGTCCTTTCTGCCTGGCAAGCACCACCTAGTTCAAGGTGGATCTGAAAACTGAGAATGGATCTCGGCTAACATGATCTCTATTTTGTTTTCAATAGTGGAGTACAGCTAGCACCTCAGCATGCAACTCTCGCTTGAGTGAAAGGGACAAGGACAAAACGCAACCCTCTGAAACAGCTTTTATGGAAATCATGCACTATCTGTGATATGTATATGGTCTCTGGAGCTGCAGCCTTGTTTAAGCCTCTGCTTTTAAATGTCATTTTCCAAAACTAAAGGGTAAGAAGTACAAATTGTATCTCTAAAACAGCATCACAACTTCATTCTCAATAGCTAAGTATTGAAATGCAAGCATACATTATAAATAGAAAAACAGCTGGCTTGGAGCACATTGCAAGCCACTAACACAGTTGAGGGATTTGAATGACATCATAACCCGTGAGAGCATGTTGCTGGCCAGCTGGTGTTATTTATAATATACTCATAATTGAGGAAAAATAAAAAGACAAAAGTTAGGTATTGCAGAACTAATAAAGTTGAATTGTCTCCTTTCCAATGTCATTTAAATTATTATCAAGAGTAATTATGAAGATTAGTACTAAAAAGGGGGAAAATCAGCAACACATTTAACATAGCACATTTAAGATAAATTTAAGATAAATGTCATGGAAGCCCCCCACATTGGGCTACTTGTGTTACTATATTTGTAGCACTGTAAATTCTAGGAAATGATACAACTTCTCCTTTGTGGTTGCTAGAAGATCATAAAGCTACTTTGCCCTATTTACAAGCAGTGCTCGACAATTCTGTTCCTTTTAGCAAATTAGAAACTGCTGTTTCAGGGTTAATAACACAGAGAGCTGGAGGTTTTAATTGTTACTCAGCATATAGGCATGCCAAGTTTAATAACGTAAAGATGCATTAAGAAAGAAGTAGGTAACTGACTGCCAGTCTCTCTATGCTGTATAAATAAAATACTGGTGCCTCTGCATGTTAATGTGTACGTACATAAAAAGGTATGCATATATACAAACAATGTCCTTACATATATAAGTTTTTATATATTTAGTGCAGACACACACACACAAAAATCCAAGTGCACGCACAGCTATCTGAAAGTTAACCAGGGTACATTTTCTTATTTTTCATGGCAGCACAAGCCTTTTTTGTCTGCTAACCCTTCAGTCACTAATTCACATTCTTTTAAAGGGAAAAAAATATGCTTCTGTGCTCTAGTTTTAAAATGCAAAGGTATGATGTTATTTGTCACCATGCCCAAAAAAGTCCTTACTCGGTAACTTTGCCAGAAGAGGGAGAGAGAGAGAAGGCAAATGCTCCCCCAGCTGTTTCCTGTCTACAGTGTCTGTGTAATGTAGATAAATGTGAGGATTTTCTCTAAATCCCTCTTCTGTTTGCTAAATCTCACTGTCACTGCTAAAATCAGAGCAGATAGAGCCTGCGCAATGGAATAAAGTCCTCAATATTGAAATGTGACATTGCTCTCAACATCTCACATCTCTCTGGATTTCTTTTTTCTCATCATTACTGCTAACAAATTCATTTCCAGACTTTGCACTTTTAAGAAGCAATGGAAAAAATCAACAGTCTTTCAACACAATTAGTTAAGTGCTGCTTTTGTGATTTCTTGAAGGTAAATCTTTATTACTATTTCAAATAATTTTTTAGTTTCATTTTACTGTGTATTGTCTGCTTCTGGTTTGAAGAGTATTGTGCACTTTTCAATAACATTATTTTAGAACTGAGAATTATTTATAAATTGCTGAACATGCAATTTTATGTGATCTGGAAAATGGCTGTATGTAATAGTTGCAATTACATAGATAACTGTAAGGGTAAACTATTGCAGATGCATGTCTTAAATGTCACTCCTATTCAGAGAACTTTGTAATATTTCAGTTATGTCATTGTTAATGGGTCCAATTACATCATTGTCTATTTTGTTAATTAATGCTTCTGAAAACAAGAACTTTTAGCTATTTTCTGCAGGTGCAGGGTTTTGCAGGAAAAAAGATATTGTTCACATGTTAAGTTTCTGCAGTTTTATTGTACACAATGACAGATAAAATGCTCATGCTTTTACAGGGAAACTTTTAAGGGATGTTGTCACTGCAGCAATTTTCTGGCAGCATTGTGACATTTACTTGCTTTTTGCTTTCCTCGATTAAAAGTAAATGTGAAGTTCACTTTGTTTTCTACATTAGAAACCAGCTGTGACTCTTGCTGACCTTGCATATTTGTATAGCTTAAGCAATTGCACATAAAGAAAATGGAAATTCCCCTACATGTTCATCTCCAAGTTTTCCCTGGTAGGGAGGGCTGTTTCAGGAAAGTTTGCATGTGAAGTTTCATGTTATGACCCTATAATTTCTGCACATTAATATAAGCTGTCTTTAAGCAAATTTGGCTTCAATAGGTGCATTGACCTCTCTTTCTGTCAGTTGGCCCTAGTTCAGCTTTGAATTACCATCAAATTTATATCCTTCAAGAACTTTTTTTCTTTAATATTTTGCAAGGACATTTATGCAGTTGACATAATCCTTCTGTTTTACTTGTTTAGGGCCTAATTATTTTTTTTAGAGTGTCTTACACTTGAAACACACTTATTCCTTAATATGATTCAAAAGTGCAGGACTATAGTTGCAATGGATGAAACCATTCTCTTAATGTATAAATGGACAGGAAAGACAAAGATGATGTGAGTTTTTTAAAGTATTGAGCAAGATACTATGAAACATAAAAGTAATGTGCTAGTTCCTCAGCTGGTGCATCCTGCCAAGCTTCCTTGGAATCAATGGAACATACTGATTTAAGTTAGGATGTAGCCCAGATTCTTTACCCAAAGTTAGCAGTATATAAACCTTGATCCATTCTAGAGTGCACATGGTTTTTTTTATATAATAATTACTAGTGAATACTGTTATTACATACCATTTACATACTATGGCTTGGTAATCAGATCTGACCTTTAAGTAGCAAAATGTAATTTTTACTATAACTCTTGTTTTGGGGTTGTGGGTTGTTTTTTTTTTTCTATAGCATGTAATATCCTTAAAATATTACTCCCCTCGAGATACTTATAATTACTGTAGGTGTTCTTATATGTTATTAAAATGAGCAAGCACATGAAGAATTCTTATGCTCAGCTTGTGCCCACTGATAGTTTGTTAGACAAAGAGGAGTTAGTTGGAAGAACTGAGAAGTATAAGACTTGTGGAGTGTTCATATATGACATTCCTCTGTGGTGCCACTCTTCTGGACTATTAAAAGAGGAATGCAGCAAAAGCTGGTTATTTTACTGAAAAAAGAGGAAATTCCAGCTGTGAAAATATGGTCAGTCATTCTATGCAACTAAAAGAAGTGCTTAACCAGGCTCATCCTGAACCTGTATTCAATTTCCAAATGTAATTAGATGCTTCAGTAAACCCCACCCACATGCCAATGCGTTTTCTTTTAAACTCTCAACTTTCTAGTCAAATTGGAGACATTGCAAGCACCCTGCCTGTTTGTAAAGAACCTGAAGCAATATTGGATTACAAGTCTGTATTTTCTTAAGAATATTCTCCTCAGACATAAATGGGAACTTTGATTTTATCATAAACATATTGAATCAACTTAATTAAAATGATGAAGCAAAGTTAAAGTTTTAAGCTGTGTTTTGGAATTAGTTTTGATGAAGCAGTACTTAATGTAACAAATAGTCGATTGAGCCTTAGAAACATGTGAGTCTGTTTTCTTTTCCCCAAAGTTTTTCCTTGTTTGAAAGTTCTTGACTGTTTTTAAATTTGGAGATAAAGTTAGAAATTCTCTGTGGTTTATACTGTGCAACCTTTTTTTGGCTTCCACTAAAGGAAAAACAGTAGATAATCTGTTTTGTTGTAGTTCAGTGCTGATATTTATCTGAAAATGCAATCCAGCTGAAAAGTCTTGAAAAATACAAAGTTGTTAAATGTCTAAGATTAATGTTGACTTCTGGCCCAAATGTTATACAAGAACAAATTGTTAAATACATAACCTTCTTGTATTTGTAATACCTTTCATCCTTCTGAGGCAGTGTGCTAAACAGCTTCCTGCCTTACCTCCTCAGAACAGGGAACCATCTTAAACTGCAGGTGCATCACATTTATCTTAGAGATTCAAAAATATGGCAAGGGAAAAAAAGAATTGATGTTGCTAAGATATGGAATCATTATAGGAGATAATGCCTTGTGTTACATTAATTCATTTATAATCTGATCTCTCTCCATCTGCCATTGAAACCATGTCCATGCATAGAAGCTTGTTCGTTTTTGCATGGCAAAGTTGGCTAAAGGCTCTTGTGAATGGGAAAATAATTCTTCTTTCTTTCTATGATAAATCATGGGATTTAGAATTGTTCATTATTTTCACAGTGGAAATATCAAAGAAAAAAAAATACGGGATAAATTTTGACTTATTTATAGATTTGTATCTTATTCAGCTTTGACTTAAGTTGAAATAGGGGACTCATCCAGCAAGGTGCTAAGATCCCTTGCCAAGAAAATAAGAATTCTTAAAAATTATTGGCTAGACAAGGCTTAATACCCCACTGGATCAGATCCCGTATGAGCAGACAATAGATAATTTCATCATTTTTTTTTTAAAGTTCACTGAAAAAATAAGATTTAATGGTCCCTGGAACCCTGTAGAAACTTTAGGGAAGATTAATCATTTTACTCCGATTCCTTTGTACTAGTCTTCTAATACAAAACAGTTTTAAGCTGAGGTTAACTGTATGTGCAAGAAAGAATTGTAACATCTTACTTGACTCCAATATTAATGTTAACCTTGAAAGAGAATGAAATAAAATGCAGATTTATACCTTTCAAAACTAGTCTTTTTGGCAAGTAATGTAAATTGGTTCAGAAAATGGATTAAGTACATTCTTCTCTGTCCTGCTACTAAATATAAATATCTTTTGCTAGATTTTTTTAAAAAATATACTATCTTATCTGACATGTTGGGTAAGGTTGTTTGTTGATATACTTAGGTATAAAAGGAAGTGAATAAATGGAACGGTGTAAATTTACACCCATTAAGGATTGGCCTTTCTTCAATCATAAGTCCAGGAAAAAGATAGTTTGTAACCATATGTAAAAGAGAAAAGAATTATCACCTGTATGTATACCTCACAGACAAACCTGACTAAAAGCATATAAAGGAGGTCAGTGAAAGCAGAGCTGCTTCCATCTAGTAAAAATACAAATCCTTAACATTCCCACTAGTGCTCCTCTTAACTTCTTGAATGCTTCCAAATGCTAATTTGCTAGTAACAAGAGGACTGTAAGAGTCATTGAATGTGGTCCCATACTATGGAAGGTCCATCATCGACTGCTAAATAACTTTGGCAAGCTCTCTCTTGAAACTTCGTTTATTTTGTCCTCGTATTTCCCTTTTCAAGGTGGCCGGAGAATCACAGAGTAGTAATTATGAACCCTTTTCCTTCTGGGACAAATTTCTTTCCAGTTTATAGCCATTTGTTCTTGTGCCAGTGCTGTTCTTTAGTTTAAATAGCTTTTCCCTGCCATATGCCACCTCCATCACCCACAGCACGTTGGCAGGCAACTGCCATATTCCCTCTTAGCCTATCTGGTCTCAGATAAAACAATTCAGGATTTTCTAGTCTTTCTTACTCTTTTTCTGGGTTTCCCTTTGACTGTTTATTGCACTCTTCCATATCCTCCTTTTGTGGGTGCAACCATAAATGATGGTTACTACAAGGTTCTCTAACTATGTGTGAATGTGAACCAAGAATACTTACCAAAGGAAGTAATCATTTTAGAAAATACATGGACTAGAATACGTAGACAGTTGCGAAATTACGGTGATATATTTCCTTTAAGTTTGTTTGTTGCCTAACAAATGACAGTACATATGCCTTCTCGACTCACAAGGGTGCAGGAGTTATTTTCTTTTAGACTCTGCTGGGAAATCCTGACGTTGCTTTTGCTTCCTTGGCAGGTGAAGATGCACACTGTGTCCTACATTCATTTCTTCTACCTTGGCCTGTGTTTGCTTACCTTAACCAGTTCTGCTGCTGCTGGCCCAGAAACACTCTGTGGTGCTGAGCTGGTTGATGCTCTTCAGTTTGTGTGTGGAGACAGAGGCTTTTACTTCAGTAAGTCAACCCTTTCTTTCATTCAACTGCTAAACTTTCCATGTAACCCACTGGAGTTTGCAACTGCTCTAAACAAGCTCAGAAATTATCAAACCAAGCTGCTGAATATGACTAGCATCCTCTGTCTCAGAGATGCCCAAGTCTTCAGTGGCCATGAACTCCCAGTAAACAATAAACCTGTGCCTGCCTTCAGCCTCTCTGAGTTTCTGACAAATTTTCCTTTTCAGATATGTTAATGTTTTTAATCACTTTCCAGGTGCTGCCATTCCACCTGCTATGTTACTGCTTTCTGCTGACCTGCTATTGAAATTAAATCTATGAAAGCACATACTAGACCCAAGACATTCGTGAGGCAGAACTACTTGTAACTGTTATGTCAGATTACTTGTAAACAGTTTAAATACACATTGTATCATATTAAAAACACACTAAGCTTCAACATCTGGTTTGAAAAAAACAACCTGGAAGGCAGCAAGCAAAAATTACCATATCCAAGTATTTGTACGCTTTGTCAGTGAAATAAAGGTGAAGGAAAATTCATGCGTGATGAGATAGTAAAGATTAACACCAGTACAGAAAGCAGATAAAAATAAGTCTGCAACTCTGAGAGTATTACTACTCAAATAACTTTTTGTAGCATGACTTGCACTTTGGAACTGAACATCACAATATTTTTCCTTTGCTGTGTTTTAGATTTTGCAAAGCTGTTGTAGTTGGATGAGCAACTCTTTTGTCTTAGAACCTTCTTACAACTTGTTTCAAGATCAAGAAACACACAACTTGTAAATAACAGTAATCTATTTCTAATTTTCAGCTATTTGTTAGTCAAATATCATAATTTAAATGAAACTTTTAGCTAGAAATGTATTCATTCTGAATTAATTCATTAATATATTAAAAACATGAAAGAATTCATGTTTTTATAGCCTCTGAAGCTAGCATTTACTTTCAGGAATAATACATGCTTGTCTGAAGTTACTTCTTTTTCAGGGCCTCAGTTACACTTCCGAACAAGAAAAGGAAATATAGGATGCTTAGTCTATATAGACAAGTAATTAAATAAAGGAGATTTTTTCCTATTTATTTATTTTTATATTCTTTATGAGGTCTAGCCTTTTTTCTTTCCTTTTAAAAAAATTATTTTTCACTTCATCCTGATATTGCTTGCCTTCTAAACTACCACTTAATCTGATCCTACCCACCCAACTCCTATTCGTTTCTATTCATGGAGTTATTCCTTACAATATTTTTCTCCTTGTTTTTAATAAAAAGAGAATTCAGGAAATCCAGATTCTTGCACCCTTAATCTACAGAAAATCCTGATTTCCTTAGCATACAAGCTGCAGACATTCAAACATTTTCACCATCTTCTTGGCTCTTTCTGTTAAAGTTTGCCTTTGAAACTGGGAGCCCTAGTTTCATATATGCAAAGTAATTCACTAAAGAAACATTCTTTTCTGTATTTTACACTTTAGCTATCGTTAATGAGCATCTATTTTGCGGTGCTCTTTAGCTTAGTATTCTGGTGCTAAACACAACATTAAAAATATCAAATCTCTCACAAAGGAATTTACATTTTTTACCAATTTTTGATGTGCTCATTTGAAAGCCAAAATCTGTTACATTCGTGAGCAGCTGAGTTACACTTTAGGGGCTAAGTGTCCTGCAACTACTTTCTTTTCATGGCTGGAAGAAATGTAAAGGAAGGCTTTTATCTCCCCCTCCTGTTTCTGTACCAGAAAACTGTGAGACAATATACTGCATCCTTAGAACAGCATAGCAATGTGTGGTTTTTTACTGTGCATCTATCTTAGGCATTTTCTCAGTCATTCCTCTCCCAGCAAAATGTTTGCCACCTGTTCAGAGAATTATCACACTTTGCTGATCACAAGAGAGGCTGTCACTGACCAAGCAATCAAACTTACTGTATGGGTACTCAGTGTTCCTCAAGGTAAGAGGACATGTGAAACACTAATAATCAGCAATAACTCTCTTTGCATTTCATCTCAGTTATTCTACAGTCACACAATCTGTTTCAAAGCTCTACATTCCCTAAGGTAGATCATCCTTATGTTAAAATAACATAGGCCCCCAGAATGGGCTTCTGAATTTTTCAAGGAGATCTTTACCATTGCAATCTTGCATTTTATCCACTCTCGGTAAAGACTTTCTCTCTAGCTTTTGTTGTTTTCTTACATTCTGGGTTTTCATTTGAAATAACGTAACTGTTGACACCACAAAGGTCTACCTTTTTTTATATGGAACACTGTGCAAGGTTTTACCACTGAATGACCACCCCTTTTAGGGAAGTCTTGCACTGTTGTAGTCAACAGACTGCCATTGATACATTCAACAGGAATTTTGTGAAGTTGATATGTGGCCCTAGGATGCTGAATAATGTGTCCTCTACTTGACTATTTCTGATTCATGAGCCAGCAATTTAATCTGGTTCAGCCCTCTCCCTTTTATTTGTATTTAATCTAAAATGTAGAACTGTAGAAAAGTAATTCCAGTAACCTCGGTAAAATAACTTGAGATCCAAATGTACTGTAGAATGCAACATATTGGAAGTTAGAAATGTTCCACTTCCTGGGACTTTCTAAGTATGCCACATGATCTGCAGAAGTAAAAGTCCAGTGAACTTTTTTTCATTTATTGTGAAAAGGATGTCAATTTAAACTGTGTTTTAAGCCTTCTATTCTCATAATCTGGTTCCTTTAATCAATGGTAATATTTGCCTTTAACTTGCACAGGAAATAGCTGTCAGAGAAGGTTTTTCTTCTGTCATTCTGTATTTCACTAGAGACTCCAAATATAAAGAATACCTTTTGGCTGAGGTGGAACTCCTGGTTCAGATTCAGGGTCAAACCTTCTGACTATTCCTTGGGAGTTGTGGGTGGAAATTAAGATAAAAATAATCAAGTTACTTTCTGTTGAAACTTTGTACTCCACAACTGCAAGGCTATATCTATGGCTAGGACTCGAAAAAAAAAAACAACTTCTTTTACATAGTTTACTTTGCCCAACTTCTTACCTATAAAAGGAAATTCTTTACAACTTCTGAAGAGATGTCCCAGCTGCTTACCACACATAAAGAAAAGTATTAATTACAAGAGGAAATCAAATGTGGCTTCTGCCACTCCTTTTCTTCATGAGGTAGACCAGCAAGGAGCATTTCAAAGTTGTTTTAGGAGAGAACACTGCACAAATCCCAAAACAGAGCATCTGCTTTTTCCCTTGGTCACAGCCCGTACCGGCTATTTCTTGGACAGCTTTTCCTCTCCTGTGATTCATCAATGAAGAGCAGTTTGTTGCCACCTTTTATCTAGCAACACCTCTGTAGCAGAACTTCTGCCACTCGAGTTTCTGCTTCTGAGAAGCCAAGAGACCCTGGCCACAGCTACACAAGTGGCTACATTTAGACACGACTCTTCTCAGTTAAGGTTTCTCCAGTCTCAAAAACCTCTCAATTCAACAGTCATGAAGCAAGGTGTGATGGCTTCATTTCTTCATACAAGTTGAACTGGATAGACAATCATTCATTCTTGCTTGTCTTGTTTCCTGAGAACTATCACAACCATGAGAAAGGAAAGCAAATGTAGTTTGCTCCAAGAAGCAAATGTTGTGTTCTTTTTACCTATCTTCTTCTCCTTTGAAATTATACCTTTTCCTTATCCAGTAAATGGATAACAGTTTAGCTACTAACACACATGGATGCCAATGAAGAAAGAGTTTTCTTATTTCCTTAGACACTTCAGTCATTTTAGTTTCTAAAGCATAATTTAGATGACAATACTTATCAGAAACCATGGAAAACAATTCCATTACTTAACACCCCCCACCTTCTTTTCTGTTAAAAAAACTGCTTTGGGCTCATGGTGAGTCTTCTGAAGTGTCACTTGTATAGAAAAGAAGGACCTGAATTTAGATATGTGACACAATGGAGTTCCTCTGATATTCTTCAGAGAAGGGAGAATGATCTAGCTCATGCTTCTGTATTCAAAAGAGTGAATCCCATAAAAATCAGGCTTTTCTGGTATCCAGCCTAACGTTCCTCGTGTTAACTGCTTTGTGGAGAATCATTACAGATTTTAATTACTTTTCTTTTTCCTCTAAGACAATCAGAATTGTGTGTTCTCCTTGGGAATATCCCCAGCTGTGCACAACATCAGGCTATTGGTTTATAAACAGCAGAAAAACAGGATAAGACAGTGAACATCATCTTGGGTAATCAGAGCTGTCATCAGATCTCATTGCTTTGCAGAACTAAGGTCTATACGTAGGGATTAGTGCCTTAAAAAGCAGGAAATAAGGGGCATAGTGGTAGGCAATTATGTTTTACTTCTTAAATTTCCCTTTAGTTAACAGCTTCTTGTTTACTTCAGGAAGTCTGCTTTTAAGATGTTATTAAAGTTTCTAGGCCTGTCAAACCTATCAACATAATTACAAGAGACTGCATGACACTTAGTTCTTTAACTACTCCATACCTGTAGGAGCGATGAGTCATTAGCTCCTCTCTGTGTCCCTGATTGAAAGGAACGTTAATGTTACAAGCCCAGAAGAGGCATGCTGAAAAGCTGCTGTGGACACACACAGGCTGTGGTGTCAGCGACAGTCGTACAGTCTTTCTTTGGAAAGAAATGCTGGTCATCTTGGCTATGTTCACGCAGCAAGATCCGAGAGTGTTTTTTAGTTCCTTGGTCTGGCTACATTCCCTGTGCATGTCCAAACTCTGCATTCGTGAACTATTTAAGTGTATTCCCCAGGTTCGTTTCTTCTTATGGTAAAGCTAGCCTGGACAGGAGGTAAGATGTGCTTTAACCAGGTCTGCAGGATCAGTACTCAGGGAACCAGGACTATGGTCATAGTTTATTAATACACCTCTGTAAGAAAAAAGACAGTTCTGACGTCTGCAGTGGTATCACTGTATAGTCAAATAACTGATGCATAAGTTTGGTGCGTGCTCTGTTGCCCCTGGTAATAATCATTGAGAAAGTTCT